TTCAATTCATGAAAATAATTGTAATAGTTATTTAGCTAACAATAACCGCACTGATGTAGACCTTGTAAAAAGTGCAAAAGTTAAACTAATTTGAAAAAAATATGCTTTTTTGGGCTTATTGATTCAACTATACAGTATTGTGATTTATTCGTTTTGTGGCTAATATTAGGTATATTACTATTAGGTAAATACATTTAGCTGGCATAAAAGCTGGAAAAAAATATCAGTAAGTGGAGAAAAGAAGATTAAGACATGAAGAATCTAAGAAATCTTTACTGCCTCCCTGTACAGCTGAAGTTGTTTTCTTGTTGTTTAATTCTGTCACAGCCCAGGTCTCAGATCAGATCTCTAATGGAAAAAGGAACATTCCCATGAAAACATTCGGGTGCAGACCTTTTCAAGCAAGGCTATTGTTTTACGCGCTCTCTTTAATGTTAGATTGGTTTGTGGCTTGAATTCAGACCACAGGCGACTCAACTTGCATCCCATCATGCACTCGGGGTCTCCCACACGGTCATGAATCGTAACACTTGCTCTGATTCGGGTTTGCCAGAGAGCATTTATGCCTGTTGTTTGCAGGGCCGTGATTTTGATGGATTGAGTTTTGCCTGTACATTTGAAGGTCAATAGTTACCATGGGACTGTTAGTAAACAGTGAGGGTTTTGGGCTATCTTGACCAGTCTGTGGGCTGGGATGAAAGCCTCTACATTTGGGCGCTGAATGGAATATATATCTGCCAGACTAACTGAACTGGCAGGGGTTTAAAGGTCTTTGACTAAACCACAGTGGATCTCTCCATTGCTATTGCTAGTAGATTTATTTTGGTGACCAGATGGAGCTTTACAGTATTTGGGAAGAGTTTTGTTGGCTTAACAAAATGAGATTGATATAATCACCCGTTTTGATTCTAAAGCAAGTATTTCAAATAACGACTGCCTTTTCTCCTGTATTCTTTCACAAGACTCTTATCCACTCGTGCCAAATCCTTCCCCTTGGCAGGATTTTGTTTAGAGAAGCTCTTGAGGAGATTTTCTCAGATTTAGTTAAACAGCCCATGTCATTTGTGTTTCAATGCAACAGGTGGGAATTTACATTATATTTGGGAGTACTGTTCATGAACAGTTAGTCTCTCTGAACTTCTATAGTCTCTCCATTTCTTTTTCTTTAACACTCTTTGGCCAAGGGTTTCCAGACGTTTCCAGCTGAGCCCCAATGATTTAAATTATTTATTTGTAAACCCTCTGAGATTTCCAGTAATGTTCTAATCTTTCATTAAAAGTAATATTAATAATGATTGATATGATTTAATTTTTGTATACAAGATCAAATTATTATATTTCTGATTGATAGTAATGGTACACATTTTTAGCATTGGCATTTTTTTAAAATCTAGATTCTCCTGCTTTTAGGGTGTATGCACACTAGGTGTTCTGAACCATGTCGGACCACGTTTGACCCTTAAAGTCCAGGGCCCGGTTCCCCAATAACGCTCACTCTTAGCGCGCTAAGAAGACTCGAAAGATATATCTTACCAAAGTTTTTTAAGTTCCTTAGTGTGTTCCCCGAAGTGTCCCTTGGGAAGTTTCTTAACACACTGCCTCTTACGTTCGACGTTACAAAGGCGCTGTCCCAAGTGAAGGTGCTGAATTAGCTGGCATCGATTGCTCAGGAATCGATTTTTCACTTCGCGCGAAGGTGTATTACGCCGTTAAGAAAGACAACACGTTATATGCAAATGAAACATTCCTCAAATTATTCCAGTAATATTTATTTTAACATAGTTTAAGTTATCAGTAAAATATATTAATTAAATTATCAAATTGTGATATGTCAAAATGTTTGAGATGACCGATCAAAGCAGGATTTATGTTCACGGAAGCGCGAGCCGCGCGCGAATCCAAACGGGACGCTTCACGAGATAAGATCCAAGTGGCAAAACTAAACAGCTGTTTTACGATAGAAGTTTTAAACGACCGACATAAATAATCAGTTTGCAAAGACTGTATCAATCAAAGCTCAGCTTCGGGAAGGGGATATTTACAGGTAAAGATAAAGAGACTGAGAGAAAAAGAACGAGAGAAGGAGATGGAGATGAGAGAGGAGAGCAGGTAAAGCAATACTGTGCCCAGAATGAGAATAACTTTATTGCAATGGATTCCCATTTAACACAGATATACCAACACATTCTCATCCTTTGGCGTCATAAAGGTGACTCGCCATCAGTGTTGGGGAAAGTTACTTTGAAAAGTAATGCGTTACAATATTGCGTTACTCCCTTAAAAAGTAACTTATTGCGTTACTTAGTTACTTTTTTAGAAAAGTAATGTGTTACGTTACTTTTGCGTTACTTTTTTTTCACCTGGGCTGGGCTTGTTTTTTTATACCAAAAAATATATATATTTTGGGCAAATGTAAAGACCCTTTCACACCAAAAGTGAAATAATAAGCCTCAGACTGAAGGAAATGCAGATTTACTCCTGTACAGTAGAGTACAGTAGTGTTCAGTAGAGGGCGCCGCTCAAACAAACCTTTCAGCTGCTGCTGTTCTGGGTAACAGAAGAAGAGGATGCAGGAGAAACAAATTTAACACTTACTTTACCAATAAAAACATATAAAAAAATCTATAGTCATTTTTGCTTATGGTTTAACTGAAAAATCGGAGGTCAGAAGCAAGTACTTTGGTCAATAAAGATTAAATGCATAAAAATTTATGTTTTACTTAAAGGTTCTCTAAGCGATCCTGGGTGACGTCACTTCTTGTTGACGTTCGAACTATTGTCAAACAAAACGGAGGCTAGCTAGACCCTCCCTCCTCCTCATCCGCACACTAACCCCCCAAACCACACCCCCAAACCCTTCTTGTCGGTCATTGGCTGGAACAGTTTGTTATGTTTTGGGGAGCGGGTCGCTGCAGTTTGTTTTTGGTGCTGTTTGTGAAGCATGGGCTGTCTACAGAGATCGCGTTTCTTTACAGTGTGTTCAGGGGACAGGCAGCCAGCGGATAGTGAGGAGATGTTTGCTGTATGTGACAAAAAATGTTTTGGCCTAAAAAACACATGACATCGCTTAGAGCACCTTTATCATATTTAGGCATTGGAGGTTTGCATAGTGTTCTAATTCTGCATTTTGAGGAATAGTGAATCTTTTTTGTGCAAGTGAGATGAGTAAATCCACGCTTACATTTAATCTAGAACTATAATAACCATCATGTTTACACACAACGCTTCTGCACTTCGATTTGTCTCAACATTAGGACAGAAGAGCTGTCAGTCAATAAAGGGGAAAACAAAGTAACTTGCGTTACTTATTAGAAAAAGTAACTCAGATATTTTGTTGTAAATTTTAAAAATAATGCGTTACTTTACTAGTTACTTGAAAAAGTAATCTGATTACATAACTCAAGTTACTTGTAATGAGTTACCCCCAACACTGCTCGCCATATAGGTGATGCCATATGACATTTCGTCGAAATCTTACGCACATGGCATCCTTTAGCGTCAATATAACACGCACTGTTATGGGTAGGTTTAGGTCTGGGGTAGGGTTACGGTTATGACGCCTTGGGATCTGCGTCTCATATTGATGCTAAAGGATGCCATGTGCGTCGGATTTAGACGAGCGTCACCTGTATGACGCCTTGGGTTCTGCGTCTCATATTGCGTCTCATATTGATGCTAAAGGATGCCATGTCCGTAAGATTTCGACGAAATGTACAACGCGTCACATGTATGACGCCAAAGGATGAGAACGGGCTGGATATACATAGCCTAAGTTCTTTGACAATGACAGAGGAAAAATAATATCTATTAGGGCGATCTATTTAACATGTTTCTTCCTGTTTTCTTCAAAAACAAAAAGTTGAATCTTAGGGCACATTTACATGACAGTGATGTACTAAAAATGGAAAAGTTGTACCTTTGCGTTTTTCGTATACAGACGACAACATTGTCAAAATGATCCCCGTTCACATAGATCCGTCTTATTCATAGTCTTATTCAAGTAGATGGCGATGTCACTTTGTAAAGAAACACTACGCACCTACTGAACACCAATACGCATGTGCAAGACGTCACCGAAATTCACGTTTTTGTAGTTTACACAGAGACGATAATGGTATCATTTTCAAAAACGTACACTTTGAAACCCGTTTTCAAAAGTTTGTGTATTCAGGCCCCCAAAACGCTGTTGTCGTGTAAATGAATGGCCAAAATGCATAAAAAGTTTTCCTTTTTTAGTTGAAAACGGTGTCGTGTAAACGGCCCCTCAGAAACCCCAAAAATTGTGTTTTTAATTGTGTTCCCAAAACACTGTTGTCGTGTAAATAAACGGCCAATATGCAAATTGTTTTGCAAGAAACCCCGGCAGTTCCATCGTGCGGCCCTAGGAGAGAGCTCCCTGTTGAGGAACCCTGCTTGTAGGCTAAACTTAAAGCTTGTTTTATTTTAAACTATACTTCAACTGTTTAATTAGGGAAGTCAAAGATTTCTCACCCCTTTTGTGTACAGGAAAGAAAGATATTTGGAATGTGTACGATACAGATAGATATAGAGCTCCAAATGTTTGTTTAAAATTGTACATCAAACCATTGTAACCATTGTATATGGATCCAGAAATCTGACCATTTGTCAGACATCCCCATTAAAAGAAGTTACCACATTTTCCTATACTATATAATAGGGCACATCTGTCTTGCTGTTTAGAGTGTCTAAGGCAGTTTGCACCCTATAATTAGCACACTTTCATCATATTTAACTAATGTCTCACATGTAGAATCCTCCTTATCATCCAGTATCACTAAGTTATCACTCAGCTTGAATATGCAAGGGTTTTCCATCAACAAACCAATGGCTGGGAAGACGACACAATGGCATGTGTGTGTGCACTGTGCATGCAATTCAGGGTCAATCTTTAAAAAACACGTTTTTCTAAAAAAGAGAACAGCTACACGCACTGATTCAGGTCCTCATGGTGTTTTTTTTCTTCCTTTTTTTCTCAGCTGAGTTGGTGCCATCATGAGTGGGGGAGTGAATGTGAAGAGTCTTCCACGAGCCCAGCCGGGCTCCGGCATACCTATGCACAGGACCAGACTCCCCTCCCCGAAACCTGAGCCCAAGTGCACCAGCAGTGGCCTTCCGAGACCATCCACACACATCCCTGTTAGCAACAAAAGCCCCTGCAGTAGCAGCCCTACAGCTGTCTCCACCAAAGATGTATTGAGGGACACCACCCTCAGAAACCAGCATCTGCTTCTAAGAGGCAGTCCACCTATTCAACGTTCTTCCACCAGTTCTCAAACACAGACCCAAGACTCTAGATCAGCCCATAACAGTCCACAAGTTCGACGGAAAGTGTCCCCACTTTCAAGGGGTCATCTGGATGGGTCTAAGACAGAAAGTATGCTTGACCTTCAGTCCAATGGCAACAAGAACTTCCAGAGTGGGATCTTTTGTTCTCAGACAGGACGAATGGACAATGGTAACAGATTGATCTCAGAAGAACTCAAGTGCCATGAGGAGAGGGCTGCTTCTGGAAGCAGTCAAAGCAAGACGGGTATCCCTTCGTTCAGATTTAGTAACAAAAACTTGAGGCCTGGTCCCGCAGCCACTAACGTTGATACAAGTCTTCTCAGAGTCCATAGGGAGAGAGTGTCCCTGCAGAACAGTGCCTCCAGTAGCTTCTCAGATGAGGAGATGTGCACCCCAGATGACCTCAGCCCGGAGGTCCCACAGAGATCACCGCCTGAGGCTATTGCAGTCCCTAAACACGACGCCTCTAGTGTTGAACTGCTCAAAGCCAAACAGACACCGAAGGTCAATATGGCGGCCGTGGCACCTTTCAGATACAGGTAAGTTATGAAAAATACACTGAAGGAGGGTAGCACTGCTATGATCGAAACATCAGTTTAGACCACAAAAAAAAAAAAAAAGACCAGGCTGGTTTATTCTAGTTAGTGCAGAGTTAGTATAATGTTGACCTAATTGTTCATAATGGTTTTTCTAGTAAAGCTTTATGACCAAGGAGGGCTTGCTAGTAAACCTAGTTAAGAAGTGTGATTGGGGACATCAACCCCTAATGCTCGAGACTGATATGTAAAACACAACATATGCTAGTGACAGTCAGCATCCTTGTTCACATAAACATCCTTGTTGATCCTGGAACAACATTCCAATCAACCAATCAGATGGTTAACCAGGGATGGTTACTGTTAATGTCAAGTTTAGGCTTATAGCCAGGGTTAGGTCCTTCTACATCAGTGTTATTCACCATAATTTCCCTCTGATTTCAGGGATAACTTATGGGTAGGGTTAGGTTTAGGAGTATGGATAGTGTTAGGACTTGACCCTTGGGGTGAACGTGATTTCACCAAGTACCACATGTTCTGGATCAACTTTCCAATCAACCAATCAGATTTGAGGGACAAGTTTACAGTTTGTCAAGTTTAGGCTTAGAACCAGTGTGAAGTACTTACACATCAGTGTTATTCACCTTTCATTACCCTCTGATTTTAGGGAAACGTTATGGGTAGGGTTAGGTTTAGGGGTAGGGATTGGGCAATGACTACATTTTGGGACAGGAATTTTGATCCAGGATCAACAAAATATGTTGATTCAGGACCATGTCTTACTTGTTGATCCAGGAACATGTTTTACTTGGCAAAATCATGGTGATTGTACAACAGTTTGTCACTGGGTCAGTACACTTAAAGGGGCAACTTTGTATCTTACCTACAGTATGTCTAAAATTAGTCCTTTTCCACTCGTAATCTTTCCAGTGCTGAGTCAGGCAAGAGGTTTAAGTTTCTGTCCCGCTTTCAGAGACTGTGTCGCTCTTGCTTAAAAGCTTCTCCTGCCAGCATGAACACTCTTCGAATTAAATGGACAACTTTGCATCCCTAAAATTTGCATAAATACTACCTTAGAGTAGTATTGTGTAGCCTAACACCGTGTCCTAACTACACGCGATGCGCGATAAAAGGTATCTTTTCCATGTTAATCAGAGTTTTTGTCCTAACCAGCCGCGACGGCGTCACGCAACGATTCTATTTTAGAAATGGTTTCTGTTTTTCTGTGACATTGCGCTGGAACAACAAACACAAAGTGTGGCAATGATAATCTCAGGTACTGTTTATGTGCTTTATTTAATGTTAAAAGTGTGTAATGTGACTTTGAATATCATTTAGTGCTCCCAGCTTTGTAGCTGTAAAAGCAACAATGGATAATTCACCTCAGATCTTGAAATTAAACAAATGGAAACATTCAAACTGTGAACAAACAAGTGTATTATTTGACAAAGATTATTTTAGTAACTCAGTAGCCTGTGTATTTGAATGATGTTTAAATGGTGTAATATTTGTAAATTTGATTATGTAGCCTACTTATCCATTTTCTTGCGATTGTCGTCAAGATTACTCTCTGGTGCTGTGCACTTTCCGCGAGAGCCCACCCACGTGCTGTTCTGATTGCCTGTGGGTTTTGATTGCGCATCTAGTGTGGACAGACACATTATTTGTTGCTGGAATCTTATCGCATCGTGTCTGGTTAGGAAACGGTGTTAAGGGACTACTAAGAAGGTATTCATTTTGAAGGTACCTTTGAGACTACTGCCCAAGTGACAAGGTGTTGCACCTCTAAAAGTAGAATTTGTGGGGGGGAAAAATCTGAGAATGCACTTTTAATCCTGGGCTAAGAAGTCCTGGTCATATGAACTGGAGTCAAGGCCATCATCAAGAAGGGTGCCCACTAAGGTCATCTATGCATGATTGACAGTTATTAAAGCAGTTACATTTGAGACAGAATATTGTTAACCATGTAAATTTGCAAATAAGGGCAAACCCCAGGGTTTACAAATGTACAGTCTAAAATCTTGAAACCCGACTCCTCAGTATTATTTCACTTAGATCACTCAAGATAAGTCAGGATTGCAATAGGATTACATTAACCTGTTTTTAAAAATTGATTCTGGGTTAGCTCTTGCAAGTGTGAAATGTCCAAAAGTAAAAATGATCAGGTCAAGTAAAATTCTTTTTTTTATGATGAACAATGGAAATTCCCAATCTTGCAGAAACTTAAATGAAAATTTACTATGTCCCTCTAACTAGCTAGTGTGTAAGAAATTTAATCAGCATGTCAGTTTTCGAAATTTGTCAAATTGTCTTGTTTTAACAGTTTGTACATGCACTGCATTACATGGTTTGTTATTTCTCCAGCAATTCAATTCTGCTGCTGCATGATTTGTCTTCCCTCTATCTGTCTTCACGCATGTCTGTGCCCAGCCCACTCTCTCTTTCTGTCTCTTTTGTCTCTTTCACTCTTTTTCTCCCCATTTCATCCAGTTTTGACCAATATGACAGGCCATCACTTACGCTGACAGATTAGCCTCCTTTTCCACTCGTCATCTTTCCAGCAATGAATCAGTCAAGCGGTTAAAGTTTCTGTCCCACTCTCAGAGAGTGTGTCGCTCTTGCCCTCTGTATGCCTGCTGGGAATTCTGGGGCACAGTAGATGGTTAAAAAGCTTCTCCTGCCAGCATGAACACTCAGAATTATCTGCTCTAATGAGTCGGTGCAGTGGACACCCGGTGGGCACAGGATACACCGGCATCAGGGCCACTGCCATGCTAGAGTAACTGAATATAAACCAGCCGTCACAGTGACAAAGCTGCGGTTTGAAAATAGCACTGAACATTGATTATTTTCAGATTGTTATTGCTTAAATGGTTAACAGTCAGGGAAAAATACCAATTATGCTGCGTCTGAACTTCTAGGCTGGCGTTCAGTGAAATAACACCTGCATATTTGCACATTTCCAAGGACCAGAGTTGGTTTTTGGTTATTAGGCACTGTGTCTAATTGTCTTATTTTTTTTATTTTTTTATAAAGGCGGCAGATTGAGGAAGACATATCTCTGGATGACTTGAGCGACTGTTCCTCTGACTCAATAGAAGTCTGCTGTGATGACCTCAATACTGGTGAGTTGTTTGCACTCTCCTTTGTTTATTATATTTTGCATAGGCTTTAATATTAATCAAAATGACCAACAGTCTTTTTAGTTTACGTTCACATCACAAAGCCAAAGTGATCTGGATCTGTTTAAATCCATTTTTATATAGGATTTTTTGGTGACTTTTTAAATATGACCAATATGAGATGCTCCTAAATGGACCCAGATGCATAAAACACACTAGACTGGCATGCACCTAATTTAAAAAATTTCAATATAATGTACAATAAATGTACTATCAATGTTAGGCACCAGTCTTAACACTTGTAATTCAAAAAAAAAACTGTATACACCTGTTGCATTCCTGGGTCCATTTGGACCCGTTGGAACGTAATCTTATAAAACAGTCATAATTTGAAGGAATGTGCAAACGTTTTGAAGTTTTGAATTTTACCATGTTTTAACTGTGCTATTACTACATTTACCCCCTTTTGTTATTTAAAACATTAAGAAATGCTTGAAGAACTACAGCAAAAAGCAGTGTGATGCAAGAATATATATATACATATATATATATGTATTTTATTTTTCATTTTTGTACAGTACATATATATAAATATTTTTATGAAATGCATAAGAGCATATAATATGATAATTACTAGTATAAACTCAGTTGACTTCAATAGATTTAATTAAAGTTCTTTGAACTTATAATTAATGAAAAGCAAGTGTCACAGTTGTGACCTAATGTACATCATCATATATTTTTAAAGAATATATTTTGTGCATTTCTGTGCAATATTTTATATAGTTAAATGTGTCAATTATTTTATAATTCAGACCAAGGGTAAATCAATTGTGCAATTACGTTGAGTTTGATTGACTTTATTATATAATTATATAAATTCTGACACTTTACACATGACTTCTGAAATTTCACTTATGAATTTCTGAATGTTCACACTAAAATCACATTGCAAAAAAATAAAAGTGCTATTATAATATATTATATAATTATATAAATTCTGACATTTCACTCATGACTGTTCACACTAATCACATTGTGAAAAAAAAAGTGACATGTATTTGATTTAATTCCATGTATATAAGTTTGAAATTAACATTTCCCAGATTGGAAATTCCATGCAATTTTTGATTTTCAAACCCAAATATGTGGTGAAGGAAGATTTGAGCAACGTTCAACTGCGGTCTGAATGATTGAACTAAAGGAAAGATCAAAACATTTCCTTGGCGTTTATTGGAATCCTGAAAGTTAGCATTAAATCTGTCCTTCCTTCTACTTCGTGGCCCAATTCTCCATCTCTGAGTGCCCTTGTTGCCCGTGGCGGTGGGTGTGTGGCGCAGTGAGAGAAAGCAGGCAAAGAGAGCGATAGCTGCAGGATTTCCACTCCCTGCTAAGAGTGTGAATGCAGCGTTCACAAAGACCGTCTTCACCCCACTGCTCTAACAGACAGCCTGGCCTAGTCTGACCCGGGCCAGCTAGACCACCCCAACTGCAGACGGAGAGTTCAGCTGCACTCCACACTATTAAATATAAAGGTTACAAAAAAGCCATTTCTCAACAAGTATAACAATGATTCATGAAATTAATCTACTCTGAAGAACAATTAAAGAACCAAATGTTAACCTTAATGTTTAACTTAAGTGTCGCGCCCCCTTTTTTTGAATAAACATGAAAATGCACAATCCGAACTTAAAGGGTTGTAATTCAAGAATGCTTTGGAATATAGATGTAAGATCGGTCTTGTTTTAAAGAAGACATTTGGCAGATTTTTAGAAGTTAAATAAATTAAGAAAGTGAAACAGAAAAAAAAGTTATAGTTGAGTTTATGAAAATGTCAAATGTAAAAATGTAATTATTCATATTTTATATAAAATATATTTTTTCAAAACCTGGCGGACTCTAAATCTGCAAGAGAATCAAAGCCAAACCCCTGAACAAGTTGTGTTTCAAATTTTAGGTTGATATCTCAAAAAATGAGCTTTCAGTGAGATTTTGTTTGGGCGCAGTACCAAACTTTTTCACTAGGTCACAACCAGACTCCATTACTGCCCATATAAGGGCGCCTCCATTTCCAAATGTGTTTTGAGTGATCTGAACCATTATTTCCACAATTTTCATACAATTTATGAAGTAGGCAGTCTATTCAGAAGTAGTATGGGAAGTTTGGCATATTTTGATATGAATTCCACTTCAATAATCACATAAAAAGTACACACATGTGCGTTATAGCTCGCTGCCACATCACAAATGGTGAATCTATCAATTTTTTCTTTATATTTAAAATATTTAAAACATCTAAAAAATAATAATGCATGTTATCTTTTGAACTCTTGGCATGAAAACAAACTGAGGTTTCTACCATTCTTTCATGATTTTCATGTTCATCACTATTTCAAAGTAAAGGTCTTAACACGCCTTAGGAGTATTGATAGTTAATTGATAGCAAATTGACATTATTTTGAAAATCAATCACCAAATATGGAAACTACAGATTGTAAGCTTTAAAATGATATATAGTTTGTCAATATTAGTTTAGGTTTAGTATAGGATATTACTGTTTTAAATATCTAATGGCTAAGGTGACACTTAAGGGGTAACTAATGCCTGTGTTTTTTAGTATGCTGTAATATGTTGGTTATATTTCTAATGGAATGTGTTAACAGTGTAAACAGTGTTTATGAACCCAGAGTATTGAGCATTGAGCTATCTGAGTGTGTCATTAGTGTGTATTAGCAATGAGCAGTCTGTGCGTGCGTGAGCGAGAGAGAGCGAGAGAGAGAGAAAAAAAAGAGATGTGTGTTAGTGATGAGTGATCTGAGAGAGTAAGTGTTATGGTGAGTGGGCTCAAGGGTTTCATCAGGTTTGCGATCAGATCCGCCCCTGAGAATCGACAAAAGCTGATCTGCAGATTGAATTACAGTACACTTTTCCCATTTCAACATCTGCCGGCTTCCTTTCCCTCAGATGGTTGACACACAAACACACTCAAATGTACACTGACAATACATTACCCCTCTCTCTCTCGTACACACACACACATACACACACGGTCAAGAACTGCACTAAACGTGCTTTGATTCTTGAACTTCTTTGAAGCATTACATCTGAAGTTTGTATTGTTTTGTGCCAATGGTGTCAGTCTTATCAGAGGCCTAGATCACGTTTATTGGAGTGTCCATAGTAGCCCTCATGTTGAGATCACATGATGGACTGTGTCTTGCAGTTCGAAGGTGGTAAACACAAACTTACAGACATCTGAAACTTATTCTTGACGTATTCTTGTAGATCACACTGGTCCCCTCCACTGAAACCCAATCGGATTTTTTTCCATTGGCTTTTGGATTATCGCAGAAAACAAGGTCTGTGACCAACAAAAGTTAGATTTTTTACACGTTTTGTTCATCATGATAATCTTCACAAACTTTTCTGAAGCTTAAATACAATCGGCAGAAGTAAAGCGCTAAACGTAGGCTATAAACAATATACATTGCATGACTTCAACATCACCATCATTAGGCTTCAGCTTTTTCAGTCGTTATTTAAAAACATTTTCCCTGAAAGTTTGCGGTATAATAGTTTGCAAGTGTGTGATTATAAACTTATAAACTTAAAGTCTTATTTTGCCACTTGTTAGCAACCGCCTTTTACTTTAAAGACAAAAGCTTAAAAGCTTAAAAATATAAACATGGCCATTCATGTTCAGAATGAGCAGGCCTTGGGTTTTTCATCGATGACCTTCTAGCAGCTGATAGCATCTTACAAAATAACGTTTTTGCAAGAAAAATTTATTTTCACAATATTAGATTTTTTTTTTATCAGAGACCAATTAACCCCCCCCCCCCCCCCCCCCCCCCAATTTAATATTAATAATCATTATTTAAATTGTAGTAAACCATGCATACTGCACAATATTCAGTAAGATAGTATTATATTTCTAACATTGCCTTTTTTTTTCATTCATTAATTGATCGAACTGCCAGTATTTTAATTTTCAAGTTGTTAACTGGATGGCACTCTCTGAATTAAATATGTGACAACATTTTAGGATAATGCTGTTTTGAATGGCTAATGTTGGTTAATGCATTTTATTAATATAAATAGTTGGCAGCATTCTGTGTATAGGCCTACTCTGCATTATAAAAATACTCTGTTCTGAATATTGTCACTTTTTTTACTCATTTGAACTTTTATTGAAAATGCTAAACTAGATGCCCATTTAATTCACCTTTAACCAACAAATTAGGATGAGCTTAAGGTCGCAGTCTTAGAAGCTGATGCTGGATTTCACCTTCTGTTATATTTGCAAATGTGAACTCCATTTTTAACATTCGATTTTATTTCAGTCCATACATATGACCATATAGTCACATAGTGCCTGACCCGTCTATATGAAGTGTAATCCCTTTGTTCGGGATTTTCCTAAATCTCATGGCAGCTTTGGTAAATGCTTCGAGGATAGAAGACCAAAAGCTGGCAGATCTGGTTTTATGGCAATTAATTGGGAGAAAATCCTGATTTTAGCGTTTATGCTTGCTCATTTTTGGCAGATTGCACAGGCATCAAGGCCGAATTAATTTTTAGCATATGGCAAGGAGATGGAGGCAAAACCAAACCCACTGGCTGAAAGACAAATCGCAAATCAGCACTGGCCTCTTTTTAAAGTTGACTCTCCAGATTTGACTTCTCCAGCATGCATATTTCATCCGCTGAATTTAAGAATCAGAAGTTGAACTAGAGTGCATGTGAATTGACATTAAAAATGGCTTTACATACATAATGATGAACGTATGCCAGCTAACCCTATTAGCACGTGTTTACCCAGAAGCCTATCAGATTTGAGGAAATTATCCCTGTTGCTTGTTAATCGTTTGTTTTGGCACTCACTGTTTTAATGTACTTTATTTAGCTTGATCTTAATCCCAGTTTTGAACCTGTTTTAAAGCTTAGATTCTCGGAGAAAAGTTTAGCGCACCTCATAAACCCTGACATGGACTGTTTGTACA